CGCTCAGGCGGCTTCCTCAGAGATGACGTCCCGGACGGCGGTGCGGAGGCGGCCTCGCCAGCGGCGCCCCTTTGCGCTTCTCTGCAGCCTCTGGGGCTTCAGGGTCCGCAGCCGGGTTCGGTGTTTGCTGCGCGAACCAGCGTTTGCGGGACCTGACGCCGTCCGGGGGCGACCGGCCTGGCAGGCCTGGGCTTGGCGGCCCGGGGAGCTAAGCCTGGGGGTGCTGAGGGTTAGGGGCCGGCGGAGCCGCAGCCGCGGCGCAAGTTTCCCAAATTGAGGTGGGGCAGGTGGCGGCGATTACTGCTTCTGGGTCACGAGCTCTGGCGGGCCGACAGTGGGCAGGTGAAAGGAATGGTCGCTCCCTGGGACGATGAAAGACCCGCTGACGAGGCTTTGAGCGTTTTTTGTTTTTGTTTTTTCCTCCCTTGGGGAGAGGGGTGTTTGCTAAGAACACTGGCACCTGAGGGCCAGCCTCGCCTCACTGGAAGCCGCGTCCTTGCTCGCACTGGGTCAGGTGAAGCTGACAGAAGTTGTAACTTAGAGAAACCTAAACTAGCTTCCAAGTAAATGCGTTAGACGCGTCTTACGATGCGTTAAATTGGCGTCAAGGGGCAGTTACCCCTGTTCCACCGGTAAGGAAATCAAGAGTAAGTCCTAAAAGGATTTTTCCCAGGCCTGACTTTACATTGTGTAAGTTGGTTGCCGTCCTGATGCAACAGCTGCTCTTCTTCCTAGAGCTGAATATTACCCATTTATCGAGCTTCAATAAGCTTAATACAGGACCCAAAGAAAGGTCATTTTTAAAACATCTAAATACTTGCTTTAAAACAAATTACATTAATAGCAAGAACATTTTTGGCGCTTATTGCAGGAAGATTGGGGGACCGGCAGGTGGGGGTTACTTCGAAGAACCGAGTTAAGTCACACTGGGGAACTGTAAAGCAGCAAACCCGCTTTCCGGAGCCCCTTTTCACTTCCCTGTGCTTCCTGACATCGCCGCCTAACACTGGCACGAACAAAGCGCCGCTCTCACCGCAGCTAACTTCACCCTAACAGTATTCTCAGCAGATGCTTCAACCTAAGCCTGTGTCACGTGCGTAATGGGAGACTGCATCGTCAGCCTCCCTATAAAGCCAGTGCCTGAGATACCCTCATTTAAGATCATGGCCCAAGACAGTCACTCAAAAATACTAGTTCTCTCTCATTCTCTAATCAGAAACAAGGGCTAGCCACATTTAGGACAGATAACTCAATCAGGTTCACACAAAAACCGATGAGAAAAAGCCCTGTGTTGTCATTACCTGAAAGCCCATATACACCCTCTCACCTAATACTGTACACACACTCAAAAATGTCTCCACCACCAGCATAAAAGTTTAAGATTATCCTCTCCTAAGCAGGATGATCCTAAACTCATTTAAGAGCGGGAGGCATGACTAGCACAAATGCCAGGCATCTCTCTTCCCCCAAACCACCGTAATTCAGTATGGATATTTTCCTGAGATACCTGTAACCTTTTCTTTAGGAAAGAAAAGCCACAAGCTTCTAAAATACTAGAAAACAGAGACACGGATTAGTAGTTTTAAAACAGATTTCATGTAGCTAGAGTTCACATGTGCATTTCATTTTGTCTCGAAACATCAATAAAGGACAAATCAGACTTTGTTTATTAAAAAAATACTTTACAGGAAAAAAAAAACCTCTATGCATTCCATTGTCCTATTTTACAAAGAAATAGCTTAACAATTTAACACACTTAGACAGCTACAAAAAAGCACTGTTAAAAGGATTATTATTCACACAAATTTAGATTTAAGACTATTCATTTAAAACCTTTTTAAAACACTCAATGTCAATAAACTAAGGCCACATAACGCAAATAGTCCGCCAGGCAAATTATACATTTCATCTATATGCAAAGACCTCTTAGATAAATTAAAGCCACAGGAAAAAAAATCTTAGCTGCCAATCAAAATGGAGTTTAATCACAGAAAACACTATTACATGAAAATTTACAACATGTGATAGAATTAGTACATAAGTATTTCTTTAGAGAAATTGAAAAGTGCTATATTAAGAGACAGTGGTCTCAACTACATGCACAAGTGGATCCTAAAAAATGTATGAAGAAAATGGAAGGCCGTAATATTTATGGAGAGATACTTGCTTTTAAAGCAACAAACTTTCAGGATGTGGATAGGTCCCTTATGTGCTAAAGAAAAACATCTGTCTTTTACATTTCCTCTTACTGCATAACCAATGAATATAACTAAACCTGTTTAAAACAGAAAATTGAAAATAAGAATCTCTAGCATGTACTATTGAAAGGTTCCTTAAAAACCTGTAGCAATGATAAAACAGATTAGAAAGACACAAACTCAATTATCTTAAAAGGTATAGATGTAAATTTTAATGGCAAATACAGATGGAAATGGGCTCATTAGTGAAGAATATATTCATTGAAGATTTTCCTGAATTTTGGAATCTTGTTCCCAAGTTAGCTTTTTAGTATTATGAAAGGGAAAATAATAAGCAAATGTTTCTCCAGTCGTTAAGTTTTAACTTTATACCTGTTAAAACTGATAGCTTTTTGCCTAAGGTTTAGTAAAGAATTCTATTTAATACGCGCATTTTCCCCCTACAAGAGTGTAATCTTAAATCAACTGATATTCCAACTCCCTCTAAGGAGAAAGGTCACCTTTCAAAAGCCTTGTGATAAGGTACTAATAAAACAAATTATAAATATGGAACAAATTAAAGTAGAATTAAGTGTAGAATTCATTTTAAAGAGTTTAAACTTTGGAGGAGAAAACTAATATGTAGCTTTTTATTATTGCTTTGTGAACTGGGTTACTTCCTTGAATCATAATCTTACTCCTAGCATATCTTGGTAATTACAGAATGACTTCTAGGAATGGGGGAAGACATCTATATCCTTGTTAATGAAGACAAAATCATTCTAGTGACTAAGTTAGAGATATTCATTTACTGGGTCCTTTCCATAAGCACATTTTAAAAATGTCCCTCTTATAAAACTTATAAATTACTAAAACGTATAGCCACAGTCTGCAAGTAATCTCAGAGTTGGCACAATGGATAATATACCAAAAAGGAAGGTCAGCTTAAATTTCAGTTACAACTTCACTGCAGTCACTACTTTACAAATCAAAAGACACCCGATTGCTCCATGCCTCACTCCACCAAACCAAATAATTTAATGATTTAGAAAAGTTGCAATCAATTGTATCACTAAACTGGGATACAGCTTTGAATGCAGTAAGAAACTCAAAACTTCTGCTTTTATATTCGTCAGTCTTTAAAGCATGCTATTAAAATCTAATACTCACATAGGACATTCAGAGTTTCCAGATACATTACTAGCTAAATGTTTCTCTCTCCATTCTATTGCAATTCTAATATACAATGAATTCGTTAGTACATGATTTTAAACATTTTATACTCTTTTAATGTGTTTATATTGGAGGCGAGGGTAGTATATTTTATAAAAAGGAAATGGGGGGTTTGTTTTTGATTGTAGGTCTTTGCAGATCCGCTGGTTCCTGAGTGATTATACACAGTGCTGGCTGTCAGGAGACAGTCTCCTTGTTGGTTAGCAGTGACCAGCTTAGATGACAGATGGCATCTGCTGGATGGCAAGTGGGAGATGGGGAAATCGGATCTTGGAAGACAAGACAAGGAAAATAAAAATAAAAAAAGTTTTTGCTTTAACAATCCTGTTCATGATTATTTTAAAAAGCAAATGTTGCCTGAGAAGAATTTTACTTTGTACAGCCTAGTAAAGCTCTATGAAATTCTTCCGGACAAAAAAAACAAAAACAAGAAATAACCTAAACCCTTACCCTTTGTGATTAACCCCCTCCCTCCCAAAATAACAAAAATCACCCTCAAAGGCAGGTAGCTCCCTTAAAAATTAGTCTTGATAAACTAGAATTTATACCCAACATTTAAAAACACCCCTGCTATAATCACATTACTTTCATACCATTCTAATTACCTTATTTACAAAGATAACTAAAGCCAACATCACTTCCAATTCATAAATGGTTTACATTGAAATGTTTCTCTTAATTGTTTTCATCCTTTGTAACAGAGAATACATACATATACATATATATAAGGAATAATACAGATTCTAACTAATCACTGCAGTATTTGCTGATGGTTACTTCTCTATCGGTTTACACAGTGACCTCTATACTTTGCTAATATGCATTTAACTACACAACAATATTGCACAAAGTAATATTTATATAAGATTTAACCTATTTCAGAATATTTTAGAGAAAATTCATATTTGATATTTTGAAAGATGCAGCTAAGGTTTTTTGTGGTGACACACATAATGAAGCAGCATCTTATTATTTTTTTTTTTGCCTATGTTAATGTAAATATTCCAAATCTCACCCTCCAGGAAAAAAAAAAATCTCCGAATTGCACTATAACCAGGTAGATACAAGAATCTGGTCTTAGGTGTGGGGAATACTCTTCCTTTAATGAAAAAAAAGCTTTATTATTAAGAGAAAGTGAAAATGTATCACATTAACATTCTAAAATAATAGAAAGTTAAGATTACACTGGCTATATGAACTGTGTCTATTAAAAAAAAAAATAGTCCTCTGGCACTAAGCGTGAGGCCACCAGAAACTCTAGGGGGGGGTGCCACATTTTCTGAGAGTGGCAACAGAGTAACAGCAATCAACCCAGGTATTCACCAGTCAAAACTATTAAACTAAAGTCTCAACCGAATTTTTTTCATGAAGAGATCAATGCCAGGTGACTAAAATAGTTTTTCCTAAGTTTCATGCACAAAATAGGGCAGCCTCATCAGCAAGACCTGTATCAGTCTCAAGTATGATACTCAGACTCAGCTTAGGAAGCAGAAGTATCCACACAAAATGTGAGGATGCTAGGAAGCAGAAGAGAGCATCATGTCAACACTGTCTCTTTTACCCAAAATATCTTCCACAGTTACCAGGTATTCTACAAGAGATTAATGAACCATGGGTAATGAATGAACAAGGACTATTTATCTTTAGATATTTTTAATTGAAATATCCACTGGATTTTAAATAACAGATACAAAAAAAGACAGTTTGGATCAGAAAGTGCTGTGCTTTCTCTTCTGTTAAGAAACCGAGAGCCACTGAATTTTCCTTGGAAACTACTTGTTCTTTATGTTTGAAACTAAATAACTTACCTTGCCCAACTCTGCAAGAACTCTTTCCTGCAACATATGCCATTTTTACTGAAGAAAATGAATCCATGCCATAAAGACATGAGTATTAAACCATAAATGATCTGATCTATCATAAAAACAGCAAATACGGCAAGAGTCAGGGCAAGATAAAATTCAGGGAAGTGAATAATTACCAAATAAGAATCTGTTATTCCAGAGAATTCTCATTTTGATTTGAAGAAGAGATTGAATTGTTACCTCACACCTTAAAACAGGAAGTAGCAGCAGACCCACTATTACATACTGTACTAACGGGATAAGATACAACTCTTAACTTTGCATAATCTGTGTAAAAAAGATATGCTTGACATTTGTGGAATGTCATTTCTCTTTATAGAATTATAGGCAAGATTTCTCCAATAAAACTTAACTTAAGCCAGTTATAAAACTATAACTTCACATCAAAATTTAAAAAAGTTAAAAAATGTGTTTGAATATGTACATATCACACAGGAGTGCTTGAGTGTTCCTGCAGACCGTGCTGCTGGTCAGAGTCCAGTCTACTTTCCACCTTGAACACAGGAATAGGTGGGGTCATCTGATCTTGCTGCAGATTAAGTTCTGATGAAGGTGGGAAGGACGATGGAGCAGTTGTCAAAAGTTGCATCTCTGTGCGTGTTTCTTCAGGTTCAGTTTTTATCCTCACACACTGGGCATCAACTTCGAGCTCTCGCTTTCCAGTTAAATCACAGTCCATGTTAGAACTACTCTCTGAGTTTTGAGTAGCTTCCACAACAGGGTGGTACTGTTTAAGCCTTATATGCCAGGCCAAACTGCACACTGCGGACACTGTTTTGAACTGATGAATGACATTTCTAGGGATGAAGTAGATGTCATTGTCGCACAGCTGAATTCTAGCATAACGAATGCCTTCCCGCCTCATTTGGTTTAGTTTAGCTTCATCAACCCACTGAACACACTGAAGAGACGAAAAAGAGTTACATGAGACTTTAAAACATACAGTAATTTAGTCAAGTGAAACTTTTTAATTAACATAGGAAAGTAGTAAAGTCAAATTAAAACTAAGCAACACTAAATGATATGAACTGTCTAAAATTTTCTGTAATGCCTGAAAAATGTTTTCCTTGTATTTTGCTACCTCTCTAGTGTCAAGTATCAATTAAAGTCAGGCTGGCCTAGTGTTTTGAAGTGCACTAGAAGAGCAATATTCACCGCCACACAGGGTCTTTGGTGTGGCCTTCGGAGGGCCACTCTCCTTCAGGGTCTTCCAGACGACACGAGTGAGGTGTGGGCACACAGTGCAGCGGAGTCGGCCGCTGAGAGTGCTCCCTGGCCAGGACGGCGCTCCCAGGTCTCCCGAGCAACCCAGTCAGCCCGGATGCTCAAAGGCTGAATGGGTCCGTTTTAATGTTGTCAATATTTAATAGTAATAAATTTTAAAAAATAATAAAAATAATAAAATTCAAAAAAAATAATAAAATTCCATTTACTATTACATGCTATTGAACTCTAAGATAGATGTCACATAACTCTAAGACAACATGTTCTATGTGATCTAACACTAAGATAAAAAGAATGTAAAATGGGTAAGCTATTCATTTCCAATATCTTACTCAGGGTATATAAAAAAGCAAGAGTTATTACCTGGGAAACTGGAGGTTCATGAAGGTCTAACTGAAGTCTCTGCACAACATCAGTAAAATCCTCAGCATGAAAACAAATCACATCTTTGGTTATGCGAGGTTGGTCACTCCTAAGATTAACAAAATTAACTTTTAGAAATAAGCATCTCACAAAGGAAAGTGATGGCAAATGTCTGTCTTTTTGTTTCTAGAAATGCTACATCTAGTATACAGATAGAGGCATAGCTCCAAAAGATAAAAACACGTTCGCTTCTTTAGCTGACTTTTAAAAAAGAAACAAAACATCAAAATAGTCTCACAGAAACAAAAATCAGATTTACAAAACTAAAACAACAATGAGGAAAAACAAATTGTATTACAAGCTAAATGCATTTGCAAATCTTCACCACTTTGCCCCACCAGCTTCATGCCATCCTGTGACATCACCAGGACAGAGAGCGCATCTCCTTCACAAACACCACACTTGCTAGCACTGCTGAACTATATTCTTAAATATGTTAGGATTTAATTTTTAAATTTTATGTGTTTTACCATAATTAAAAAAAAAAAAAACTGGTCCCCAACTGTTGAAATCAAGAGGACATTTTCTTAGACAATGATAACCAACCCCAAATGTACAGCTGAGTCCCATTCACTTACCATTCCCCAAACTGTACAGCTTTCAGAACCCCAACAGCAGCCGTACTCTGCCAGTCAAACCCTTGGCCCACGTGGTCAGCATGCGCTCTTGTCCTGTCTTCAAAGAGGACCTCACGGGGTTCACTGGTCCGAGGTAGGTACTGGAGATTTTTTATTTCATTCATTGATCTATAGTAGATTTGGTTGTGAAGTAAAGGAGGGGAGGGGAAAGCATTAACAGCAATAAGACAAAAATGTTGGCTGAAATGCAAGATTTTAAGTAAGATGAAGTCTGTGAGGAATTCAGTGATTTTTGATCACTACCACTTAGGCACACTATAGTGTACTACTTATGCGGTGACCCTCCTCCCTTGGAATGTGATATAATGTAAATGCTACAGCGGATTTGTCTCAAATGTAGTGCTTGAATAAATAAATTTAATTGTAGCAACAGAAAACACAATTCAAAGTACATGGTTGTGGGCCTCTTCAGTGATAGCTATGAAGTTATCTGCAGCCACTGAAGCAGGAGCTCGATCCCCGGCCATTGAGTGACCCACAGGGTGCAGCAGACCTCTCCTGCCTCACCTGCTGCTCCCCTCAGGAGTATGTTTCAGTAGATCTGCCTGTTCTGCTCCCCACTCTGTCTGTGGTGAACCCTCTCACCCCCGCACCTCCGGCCTGTACCCCAGTTCCATATGCATATTTTAAGCTGTTGTGACCTTACTTGTGGAACCCGCTGGTTAGTAATGGTCTTGTGAGCATGTCTAACATACCACTGTCACACTCGTTAAAATACAGTTTATAGATAGAAACAATTTATACTTATAAAAAATGTAAAATAAATCTTATACAACCATACAGTAAAAACCATACAGTCATCTAAAAATGATGGTGTGGCTGCATCATAATATATAATCTAAAGAGGGGAAAAAAAAGTAAGTTTTGGAAATTTATAAAATAAGCATGTATAGACCAAAATTTGAAAGGTTAATATACCTAAATGGGTAGGAATATGACTCTGCCTTTTTATTCTTCTCAATTATCTGATTTTTTAAAGTTTGTATTTCTGATAATAATAAGAATCAGTAAACAAATGGTAGTCATTTCCTTTTTTAGAAAAGTCACAGAACAAAAGCTGTAAACAGTCTTTTAGAATTTGAATTTCAAGATTCAATACCATCATGTACAAAAACTGCTCTGGTCTAGAACCATGCAGACATCTGGGTTATTGTCAGGTTTGATCATGCCACCATGTTGCATTCATATATATAGTTTTTACAAAACTAAGTAAGATCTGGAGTAATCCCCAGAACTTATCTGAGTTATTATTTGAGCTGCTATTGCCACAGCAAATATAAAACAAATCAAAATAACACGTAAGCAGATCATTAATGAAGAGAATGAAGATAGAGGGCAAAGAAGGTAACAATTAGCTATCTAAGGGGACAAAGAAAAGCTTCACAAAGTTAGTGACGTCCAAAGGTAAATTTTGAAAATTTAAGTGGTGGCCAGGCAGAGGGGGAGGTGGGAAAGAGGATGCCAAGTAAAAAGAACAGTACAGAAGCACAGAGTTGTGGAAACAATGATTTGGAAGCTGAATTCAGGGTAGCAGGAGGAAACAAAAGCAGAGAATGCTGGAGCTATATTATGAAAGTGTACACCACAAAAGGAGTTTGGGACTTTTATCTAGCAGACGGTTGGGACCCAGGTTTTAAGGGAAAAGAACAACTAACATGCCTTTAGGAGGACACCACACAGTGCTGGCTGTGCTGAATGGCTGGGCTAAGGAGCTGACCACTATAAGGCTTTCTGAAGGAAGACCTGCAACCAGTCTGGACAAACGGTTTTCAAACTGTGCTCATGCATCAGTCATTTTTTTTTTTTTTTTTTAAAGATTTATTTATTTGTACCTACAGAACTGGGGTACAGGCCAGAGGCTCAGGGCGGCGAGAGGCTTCACCAGAGACAGAGTGGGGAGCAGAACAGGCAGATGGATGAAGTACACTGCTGAGGGGAGCAGCGGGCGGGTCAGGAGAGGTCTGCCAAGCCATGTGGTCACCTCCGGGGCATGTGGGAATCGAACTCATGTGGAAGTGGCTTTAGCTTCTTAGTGCTGTGCTTTAACCCACTGCGCCACCAGGGAGGGCCAACATCAGTCATTTTTATAAGCAACAAACTAAAAAAAAAAAAAAAAATGTGCTTTGCTTATCTGAGAAAAATAAATGTATGTTTACCGTCGTCTTTTAAAGGGTGACTTTGGCATGTCCGCTGTAGGGATCATCTGCTCTCCTGGCCTTACCCACATGATAGGCCCATCATCACTCTGGGACCTACACTGGAGTCGGAGGCTGGAAAGTGTACCCCAGGGCAAAGTCATCTACAAGATGAATGAGTCATATTAAAAAAATTTTTTAGACTATCTACAAACTAACACTCTCCCAACAAAAGAATGCTCTAGGGAACTTGTTTTGTATATTAAAAAGATAAATGCTAATTGCACAGTAACTTATGTAAAAAAAGAATAGCTAAAGTTAAATATCTTACAGTAATAATTTTCCAAACATTTCTACTCAAAACATTGCATAAAATTTAGTTTTAACAGACAAGACTAGCTTAATACACTCTAAATAGAAGGTATCCATTTCAGTAATCAAAACTTTAACAGTCTGATACTCACTTTCAGAAATGGTGACTCTTCTAACATATCAAGGAACTCTGGGAAATAATCACCAACTTCTTCATCTACTGCTCCAACAAGACTGATCTGCCGCATAGGACCTGCTCGGTAGGTGCCACAGCAGTATGTCCTGTTGACCTGAGATAAAATGAAAGAGGGAAAGGAGGAGAGAGGACTGAAGTATCTGTAATACAGGCCAAGCATGAGAACAGCATATTGTTTCCAATGTTGCTATTTCTTCTATATACTATGAACTCAGTAGTTGGCACCTTGGATAAAGTTTAGTTACAAAAAGGAACCCAGCACACGGCCAGAGTCTGACAGAATACATGCCACAAACCTGATGTTACCACAACAGAAAGCAAAATGACCACTTAGTACTTCTTACACAGTTCTGTGGCAGCATTTTCACACTGATCGTTATTTTTTTCCATGGAGAAGTAGTATCACCCACACACATACAAGTATACACAGAAAAAGGTCTTAAGAGTTTGCTCTCAAATAGCAGCAATTTCCTAATTCCTTATAAATCTTTCTCTCAAAATCACCTTAGATGATCCTTAAGCAGCAACCACCAAGGTCATATTTCCTTGCATATGTTTATATAAGTTATCATCAATTTGTTTGTATGATCAGCATGCTAGGGAAACCAGACACTGAGAAAGAGAGAAACCTCAGGCTCAGGCAGACTGAGTAAGAGAGGAACCACGGCACAGAGATGAGAGAGGCAAAGTGAGGGTGCTTTCTACGGGCTAGGGTAGCCTTTCTAAGCCAACTACCCTAAACTTCTAAAGCAGATTTCACTTTCAGTTAAGAGGACCACATGCTTTCAAAGGTGTATTAGTCTCCCCCAACCATCTCCTCAACTATTCCCAATTATCAGAAATTCTTTTACCAAGAATTGGCTGTCAAACTATACAGGATAGTGACATTTTACGGGAGAATTTGTCCTAGAGAGTCATCAGACTTAAGGTTCCTATAACTCAATGCCAACCCCGAAGCACATTTCCATGTGGCATGCAACGCTTAATATATTATTAATCTAAAGGAATTCACATTATTTAAAACTTTGCATGTATTTCAAGATTGAATTAATATTTTAGTATCACAATATCCAAGTTTACCTAATTTGAACACCATTAAACTCAAAAACACTGAACTTGAAGGCATCTTAAAAATGCAAACACTGGGCCCTCCCTGGTGGCGCAGCGGGTTAAAGCACAGCACAAAGAAGCTAAAGTCACTTCCACATGAGTTCGATCCCCGCCTGCCCCAGAGGTGACGACATGGCACGGCAGACCTCTCCTGACCCGCCCGCTGCTCCCCTCAGCAGTGTACTTCGGCGATCTGCCTGTTCTGCATCCCATTCTGTCTCTGGTGAATCCTCTCACCCTCCGCATCTCTGGCCTGTACCCCATTTAAAAAAAAAAAATGCAAACACCTTGGCTAGTTAATGTGTGACATGAGTAAATACAAAGCATCTTTTCCTATTCAGAAAATGAAAGAAAGTAAGCCTGGAAAGGGAGAACTACTGAAATGAAGTAATCTGTCATTAAGTGCTGGCAAAAAAAGGGTAGTAATAATAATAAAGCCGATTAACAGTGTCACTTGCACAAAAAGTTTTAATAAATGCTCATGCTTGAGATATATATATAAATAATTAACAGCACAAGTGAGAAGATGGGGGGGCATTTAAGAAATTCAACATATCCCAACTGTATGAAACTAACTAATGCCAAACAAACTACTAATTATCCCCTAGTCTCTACTCTATTCTTCTAGTTGGAAGGGGAAAAAAACAACTTCCTGGGCAGACAGCCAACGAGCTAGGCTCCCCAGCAGCTAAGCGGCCTGTGACTGAGTTCTAGACAAAGAGATGTTAGCACAAGCTGCATGTGCAATTTCCTAGGCATGCCTGTGTTAAGTAAGCAGCTCTCCACTTCCTCTTTCTCTTCTGGGGTCAGGTTCAACCAAGCAAATGACAACACCAAAGGGTTTTTATCTTTTAAGGTAAGATAAGAGGGTAGGAAAGGAGGATTCCTGGATGATAACACGGAGCAGAGCTGCTGATCTCTAGGCTCTTACTCAGGGAACTCAAATTTTGCCCCAGCCACTGTAGGGAAGATTTCTTTGTTATGGTAATGCAGTGCCAAGGAGGCAATACTCTATTCTGTATAGCACAGGTGATACAGGGAATAGTGTTGCCTACTCTAATCTACACAAACAAACAAAAAAACTGACTATAACTAGGGCGTAACCCAGAGAACCATTAAGATGATTAGTGAGTTGAAAACATACAAACTGGCGGGAGAGTGCAGAATTAAAAGTATTGCAAAGCACTTAATATGAAGAGGTAAAGAACATAAAAGAGGTAAAAATCTTCAAATAGTTGGGAGGTTTATCACAGAAGAGCAGACACATATAGCTTTAAATAAAGAACAGGAGTTACAGTTTACTATGTATTATTGTTGGGCACTGTTCTAAACACAGATAAAGTAGTCAGACCCATTCTCAGCCCCTTCAAAGTTACAGTCTAGTAAGAAGAGTCAGACACTAACTTATACAAATGATTATAAGCTATAACAAGTTTTCAGAATGAAACAAAAGACAACACAAAGAAAACGTGGAATCCTGGTGGGGGAGGGTAAAGTGTTTCTTGAAGCTAAGCTAAAATCTGTGTAATTAAGTTTAAAGGACATAAAATTCTCCAAACATCACTAAAAGAAAGCTAATGCTGCTAAACAACATAAAACTAAAGATGAGATTGGAAAAATGAGCTATAGCTTGATGATGGCAAACCTGGAAAACTATTAAGGATTCTAGAAAATCACAAAAGGATCTAAAGCAGAAGAAAAGTTGTCAGATTTGTCTTTGCTCTTTTAGCAGGGAAGGAAGACTTGGTATTTTTGTTTCATTTTCTCAAAGGGGCAAGAAAAGTGACAAGTTAGGGGGTTTCTGTAATGCCACAAATAAAAATCAGTAAACTAAGATAATCAACAGTAGACCCATTTTAAAAAAGAAACAATATTTGGAAAATATGGAAATGAAATTGTCAAAATCTGAAGAAAGACTGGCTATGAAAGACAACAGTGTCAAGGACATCTTCCAGGTTCTGACCTTGGCCATCAGATGGAGAAACTAATCTGTATGCCAGAGGAGGACTGGTGAGGGCAAGGAGGTGATACCTTCAGCTTTAGACATGATGAAGGCTGAATAATGACTCCCCAAAATATCCAGGTCCTAATCGCTGGAATGTCACCTTATATGGCAAAAGGATTTTGCAGCTGTGACTAAATTAAGAATCCTGAAATGGGGAGATTATCCCAGATCATCCAGGCAGGCCCTAAATGTAATCACAGATGTCCTTATAAAAGGGAGACAGAAGGCAATTTGACTACAAAGAGATCAGATGCTGGAAGCAGGGACTGGCATGAGGTACAATGAACATAGAACATGACACCATAATTGGTCAGCAAACAGTGGAACTCTAGCAGCTAAAAAGAGTTAAAAAGAATTTCTCCCTCAGAGGCTTCAGAACTTTATAAAAGAGTAAGTTTATGCTGTTTTAAGCTACTGTGTTTATGGTAATTTGTTAAGACAACAATAGGCAACATGTTGTACAAGGTACTTTTGAAACATACAAATGAAAGGGTCAAGAAGGCAGCTAGATTCCAAGTCAGAAGAGAGCTGGAGAGTCACTGGTAATAACTGAAACTTCTAGACTAAGTAAGAGTTCAGGGAGTAAGTATCTTGGAATGCTCCAATTTAAAATTGCAAAAAGGGAAGAAAAGCTAAACAAAAAAGAACGGAAAGGAGTATGAAAGTGCTTAGAGGCCTCCAGCTGCAGCAGCTTCAGGGCGAGTTCAATACCCAGCCAGGAGGTGACCACAGGGCATGGCAGCCCTCTCCTGACCCGCCCGCTGCTCCCCTCAGCAGTGTACTTCATCCATCTGTCTGTTCTGCTCCCCACTCTGTCTCTGGTGAATCCTCTCCCACCCCTGCAGCTCTGGCTTGTACCCCAGTTCTGTAAGCATAAATAATAAATCTTTTTAAAAAAGTGCTCAGAGAGTTTAAGAAGAAAATCATGACAGCATAGCATCATGAAAGCCAAAGAAAATATTTCAAGAACTCTGTCAAAATGTTGCTGGGACTTCCAGTAAGATAACATGAAAAATACCTATGGTTACCTTTACAATAGATGTTTCCGAAAAAGTAGGAGGGCAGAAATCAAATTGGCATGGTTTGAGGAGAGAAGAGGAAATGGAAACAGCAGAATGCACACACAATCTTTCACAAGTCTGGTTGTGAAAATAAAGGTTGGTAGTTACAGGAAGAAACAGGATAAATGGAAAATCTTTTAAGATGGAAAAATGAGCAACTGTCAATAGGGTGTATACACTTATTCTCAACAACTATGTTGATGAAAGCATCAATATATGTTGTCCCATAATCTCATTAACAGTATTATCGAATTTTTTGACTTCAACTAAAGTGATAAGCAAAAACTGGTATCTAAATAGTTTGAATTTCATTTTCAGACAGTCTTTTTTCTGGGAACTACCCACCTAATAATGCTTATTTATTTTTATATTGGTTTGTTAGTGTTTTTTCACATCTATTTCTAGAGCTCTTCATAATTTAGAAAGTTTACTCCTGTCAGTGATATGAAATGTAATTTTTCATAATTTAACTTTATTTATAGTGATGTATCTATTTTTGTCATAGAAAGACTCTTTCTACACCAAAAGTTTTGAAGGAGATTCCATAAGGCTTGTTTTGTTTTTTCCATCTTATTTGTGTCTCTATTTTGTACACTTAAATCTTTGATCTCATTTGGATTTCATCATGGTAACCAGTGATATGGATACCAAATAAATTCTACGTACTCTGATAGCCCAACATTATCTTTTCTCTGCCACCAGTTATTTGAGATTCTATCAATTTTATAACCCAAAAGCCTCTATGTATTTGGATCAATCCTTAACTTTTCTGTTTCACTGAACATTGTTCACAAACTAGTAGACTTATTGCACAGCCAAATCTTCAAAATGTATCTGTTAAGAGTACCTTAATGTATCTGTTAGGGTACCTTCCCTAACTGCTTTTCCTTCTCAAAGATTTCTGGGCTGCTCTCATCT